AACATATAGGATCGGTTTGGTTACCGAACTGAGTTGTTAGTTTATTTTCTCATACAAGCCGAAACCAATCGGTGGTTTTGAAAAACTGGCCAACTCAGGTTGAGTCGGACTGGTTTGGTCGGTTTGACATTTAATGTGAAAACCCGTACTTTGCACAAAAATGATACATGGAAGTTGGTGGATCTTCTTGAAGGAAAGGAACCCTTGGGGTGTAAGTGGGTGTTTACATTGAAGCAAAGGGTAGATGGCACAATGGAAGGGTATAAAGTTTGTTTAGTGGCGAAAGGGTTCACTCAAGTGTATGTAGTAGATTATGGAGAGACTTTTGCCCTGGTTGCTAAGTTTAATTCTATCAGAGTCCTTTTAGCTCTGGTTGTTAAACCTTGATTGGGATCTCCATCAATTGGATATCAGAAACACTTTCTTGAATGGTGATCTTGTAGACTCTCTCTCTCTCTCTCTATATATATATATATATATAACACAACATTTATTAAAGACTTAATCAAATACAAGAAGAGGTCCCTGATCCCTGAATGCTCCATTTATATCTAGAATCCCTGGATTACTCATGCCACTCCCATCAAAATTTAGTTTTGCTTGGTGCAAGCATAGTTGTCAAGTTGATGCCTAGGCGACGAGGTGCCCTTGGGAGCTCGCCTCGCCTAATCGCCAAGCAATTTTCTATAGTGTGTTATAAAAAACTTTTATATTCTTAACTTTTTGAGGTTATAATTATAAAATAGACATTATTAAACTAAAATAATCATTTTGTGTGTTAGGGTTTAATCAACACAAACATTGCCAAACGCTATATTGAATCATTAATGACTTCAAAACCTGAACTAATAAGTAAGAACTTAAAATGTTGTCTAAACACAACACTTCTTTTTCTTCTCCCACCTTTTCTTCTCTTCTTTTCCTATAACAGAAATAGGGGTTCCGCCCCTATATTTTTTGAATTTTCTTTTTTTTTCTTATTTTTCTTCTCATGAATATGTTGGAAGATGTTGATTTTCTTTACGTTTAACATGAATTTTATACTTTTCTTATGAAAATCCATTGCTTGGGCGGGTGACTAGGTGACATGGCACCCCCTATCTCGTAGCCTCGCCTTGGCGCCTTGAAAACTATGATCTTCACAAAAGGGTTACATCACTTGTGGCATAATGATCTATGTGACAAGTTGGGCATGATTGACATCTATATCCCAACTTGAGTGGGAGTGTTAAAAGGCTGTTTATAGGCTGTTTGTCTCTTGTTTTTATTTCTGTTTAGTATTGCAGGGGTACTATTGTAATTCTCCCTCTTTTATATTATGTTATGGTTGCCCTAATATAAATACCAAAAAGCTGGCACTGCCAGCACCAAGTTTTGCTCACAGATCTCTCTTTTCTCCCCTTCTTTCTCTCTTCTCTCTTCTCTTCACTTTCTCTTCTGGATAATAGAAAATATTCAACGAAACATATTTATAAATTAGTTTATAAGAAAAAACTATATATATTAAATAGATTATTTCATTTAGGTAGAGAAGGTTATAAATTTAAAAGGAAATTGTTATAAAATTTTAAAAACATGGAAATCATATTATAAAGAAATATATATGCAAATTGGCTATGAGGGAAATGACATTTATACCAAACCCATGAAGAAATTGCAAATAAAGTTATATTTTGATCTTATATTATGTATGTATTTGTAATAATGGTTCAGATTCAAGAATATTATTGAAGATCATACAGAAGAGAGAGAAACAGAGAACATAGAGAAAGAGTTCCAGTTCCCGTTAGGTGGAGACTTATAAATTAGTCCCCATCTAGTGACGTGTCATATATATATATATATTCTGTTAGACATAGAGCATAATTACAAGTCTATCCCTATGCAAGTTGTCAAAGGGGACGGACACGATTATCCTTGCTCAAACATGGGAACTCTGCCCATGTCCCCAGACACGTAAATAAAACATAAACTCTAACAATATGTATGGGCATTACAAAACTAAGGGAAGTAAATACAGCAATGCTTGGAAAATGGCTTTGGAGGTATAATAATCAGCCAAACAGTTTGTGAAGGAAGTAAATTTCAGCAAAGTATAGTCCTACAGCAAGAGATTGGGAGACTGAGAACTCTAGATTCTCATATGGTTGCTCAGTATGGAAGGCAGTTCAAAAAATTGATTCTCAGTTCTTACAAGGAATTAAGTATGAGGTTGGGAATGGTCAAAGGATTCTCTTCTGGAAGGATTTCTGGTGTGAAGGTGGCCTGCTAAAGGACAGATTTCCTGCTCTTTTCGAGATAGCAGTGGACAAGAATGCAACAGTGGCTGATTATGTGGAATGACAGAATGGAGTATTGGTATGGAAGGATTTCTGGTGTGAAGGTGGCCTGCTGAAGGACAGATTCCTGCTCTTTTCGAGATAGCAGTGGACAAGAATGCAACAGTGGCTGATTATATGGAATGACAGAATGGAGTATATGGAACCCCCTTTTGCAGAGAAATCTGAATAATTGGGAGATAAACTCATTCTCAAGCTTGCTGCAATCTTTATATAATGTCAGACTAAACGGAACTGAGGACAAAAGGAAATGAAAGTTTGAAAATTCAGGTATTTTCTCTGTCAGATCCTTCTATAACAGCTTGACAAGGGAGGAGCCTTATGCTTTCCCAGATAAGAAGATTTGGAAAAGAAATGTCCCTTCTAAGGTATCATTCTTTGTGTCGTCAGCGGTGCTAGACAGAATTCAGACCAGAGATATCCTAGTCAGAAGAGGCATTCAAGTGCAGGATGAAAGTTGTCCCCTGTGCAACAGAAGTACAGAAACCTCTAAATCTAGACATACAAGCTCTTAAAAATATCATGGGCATACAAAAGAGGAAGTTCTTAAAAATATCATGGGCATGCTGTGTTCGTCGCTGACTAACCACTCACTCTTTAAATCTAGACATACAAGCTCTTTTTTCTTTTGATCAATAACAAAGATCTCTTTTTTGGATAGTTTCTTTGTTTGTATTTGCATGTTGGGCTCTTTTTTGTGTGGGTCTAGGGGTTGTTTTTCCTTTAGTACAGTTTCTCATTGTACAGGGAATCAGGCTGATTGTATATCCTTCATAATTTTTGCGGTTTAATATATATATTACCTTGCCTTTTTCAAAAAAAAAAAAAGTATGAATAAACTAAAATATGTGTAAATGAACTGACAGATCATTTGATTTGGGTAGAGAAAGTTGTAAACATAAACAAAATACAAAATAATGTTTCAAAAACATAAGATTCATATTAAAAGGTATGTAATTTTAAAAAGATAATTTCCTGTTACCTGTTCTCAAAAAAAGGAGGAAATTTAGTTTCACTCTCTCTCTCTCTCTCTCTCTCTCTCTTATGCCTTGCCTCTGCTTTTAGCCTTTTAAAACCTTGGTTCAAAGTAGGCCATTCTTTGTGGTCATTGTTTTTTATTGAATTAGAATAGTGAAACTTAGGCTCTGTTTGCTACAATGTGAAATGGATGGATTTTTTTTTTTTTTTTTTTTTTTTTTCGGGCTGAAAATATTTGAGCTATAATTTTGACCATTTTACAATAGAAACTATTTTTTCCTTGCCATTTACATAAAACAAATTACAAGTGGTGAAAAACAACACTGCAGAAGTAATAGCTGGAATATTTCGGGCAGAAAAAATTATGCCCATTTTATGTACAGACAAATATAGCCTTAATGGAGCTATTCTTACTTGGGATATATGAGGTGGAATATGAAGCTGTAGATTGGGTAAGTGAATTAATAGCCAATTTAGAAGTTCCCCTATCTGATTGATGGCCTGGATTTGCCATCTCAATCATCCATATGACAAAAATTGGTGATGATCAGAAAAGAAATGCCTAAATCCTAATTAACAGGTGTATCAAAAAAAATCCTAATTAACAGGATTGATGGATTAGTCTACCCTTTTATACCAATTCATTGAGTACTGACAAATTTATGTCACTAACCATTGTTTAAGGTGCTTTTATTTCTGTCTAATCTCTATGCTGTTTTGTTTCTTACTGTTGTGGTGTCCTTCTCACTGGTTCTTTCTAGTGGATAAGAGTTTCCTCTTCTTTTCATGGATAAGGTTTGAGCATTACTCATAAAAAAACAAGTCTCCGGTTAAGGTGCAATTTGTACCAGTTTTGGTTGGTGCACTTTGAAGTTACCTAAAATATGCTTTTTGTCCTGATTCCAATATACATGCTCTTAGGTAGGTACCTCTGTCTGTTGCTGTTGGTTTTATGCATTTAAATATATGGTTTAAAATGGGTCCCCAACCACTATAAGTCTTCCTTGTCTAAAGAAGTTTTCCTGCCATTAATAAGGTTTCTCCTTCAACCATTGGATTTGCGTAAAAAAGGATTTGTGCCAATGCAACACTGAAATGGTAGCCATGATATCAATTTTCCCTTACCAGGGTACTTGGTGCCATGGTAAGCCTCAAGCTAATAAACACGGAAATGCATGTTTAAGTTTAAGAATGGTTACTAATAAAAGTTAGGTTCACATCCAGTCTACCCCTCCCAAGAGCCTGGATATTTTGGACCATCACTGGGTAATGGCTCCTTTTTTTCAGTCGTCTTTTCTTGAGTCATTACTGTACTAGTTTAAATAAATTTTCTCTTCTTAGACAATTAATTCCCATTGAATCCATTAATAGGTGTTGGGGGAGAAGTATGGTATTACGTATCTACTGAATAAGAAGGGAATAAGTTACATGTTCATCTATGCAAGCATTAATATTATAAATAAAAGGTCATTACCCAATGTTGGTTGCAGCTATAAGTGATCATAAGTAAATAATAAAACTAAAGAAACAAAGAAACCATAAACTTCTTTTCATTTTTATTTTCATATTTTACATGATTCGTTGCTTTAAGTTTAAACATAAATATGCAAGAAATGTTTATTGTTTTAGTCTGCAACTGGTACTATGTTTTTTTTATTAATTATCCCTTTTACCATCGCCCAGCTCAAAGACATGGCTGAGAGGCTTCCACCTGGGGCCTATGAGACTGAAAGCTTGAGGCCAGTCTACCTACCAAATGGCCTGGATCCAAATGGCATTCATCATCCTGATGTAAATGGAGAGCTCAACTCAAGATCTGGTGCAACCCATGATACTCTTTTGGCTTCTACCACAGGAGTCGTATGTGGTGCCATGAATGGAACTCCAGGTCAGGTTCATTTGCCGAGGAATGTACCCGGAGCCCAAGAAACCAATGCCTGCCTACAAAATCAGGGAGTTCTAGCTTCCAACGGGATGGATGACCATGCAGACATGGGATTGCAGAATGGTAATGGAGGGATACATGATAGTAGCAATAGTAGACCTGATGCTGATGGCAGGGAGCCTGAGCCTTTCCAGAATGGTGAGAATGGTATGAAATCCAGGAGTGTCTCTCTAACAGGAAATAGCCATCAAGTTGAGGCTGAATGGATCGAACAATATGAACCTGGTGTATATATAACACTTGTGGCCCTACGTGATGGAACTAGAGATCTAAAGAGAGTGCGCTTCAGGTACTTGGGCTCAAACATCCATATTTTCTTATCTTGTGTGTGTGTGGTGGGAATACCTGTTCTGTATTAAGGCCCCTTATTTATCATTTATGAATTTGTCAGAAAACGGAAATGATCTTTGTGAACATATCGCCATGATATGGTCTTGTAGAACTAGATTAGGTCTGAAAGCTAGCATTTGTAATGTTGCAACTAATTTGGAAATGCATCTACTACAGCCGCAGAAGATTTGGAGAGCACCAAGCAGAAATTTGGTGGTCAGAGAACCGTGAGAAGGTTTATGAGAGGTATAATGTCAGGGTGTCAGACAGATCATCAGGTGCCACTGGGCAATCAGTAGATTCAGTACGCAGACCTGAGGAAGCCACTTCACCATCTTCTCAAACGTAGCAGCAGAGCAGATATGTCTCTTTTTTGGATCCTGTATTGTGATGGTTTTGAAGGTATGCAGGAAATCCCTGATCAACTGGATGGGATACCGCCTTTTTTCCCCATGCCTCTTCAATTTATTGGTTTTTTTTGTTCCTTCATTTTATTTCTGGGTCTCTGCCCTCGCCAACCTGTTGTATTGTATATTGTATATAAAATCATCCTAGATAATGAGCAGGAAAAAATTTTTCATTTTTACCCCTCCTGGTATAGTTATACGTATCTGTTTATTACTCCATCCTTACCTGCTCTCCAGTCTTGTATTGTTATTTAATTTAATCTTCTCAATCCTCTGTTTTTTTGTCTTCCTCTATCAACAGGCTGAACTAGATTGTGGGGTTTCACCATTTGCTGGTCCGAATAAGATTTCTTATCTAAAAGCTGCTTGTTTGGGTGATTAATATTCACAGCCATCCTATGTAGTGTACTGTTGTGGAAGGCAAGAAAGCTTAATGCCACCCGTGAAACAACGTGAACAAAACGAGGAAATGGTAGTAGTAGCAGTAAGGCTGCAACTTGGGGCCGGGTTGGCCCAAACCCAACCCGAAAAAGTTGGGTTGGGTTGGGTTGGGTTGACGTTTGGGTTAGGGCTAGGATTAGGGTTGAAATTCATGAACCCGACTTTATTTCAGGTTGGGTTAGGGTTGACCCCTTAGTCAACCCGATCCAATCCGAACCCAACTCTATAGTACATGTCATCCAAATATATGTTATATGTAATATTTAATATACATTGATTTGTTTAGATGCATGATATTTGTATAGCCCCCACCATATAGTATCATGTATTTCTTTTAAGATAATCACTTCACTTAATCCTAATTAGAAAGACTAAAACCTTAATAACATTATTTTATGTTTTTTGAAAATTTTATTCTTATCTCCTCTATGTTTGCCATCCAAGAAAGATCTATTGCAAGTTATAACTCATAATAAACTAGTTATTTTTAACACTTGTTTTTCTAAATTTTGTACTAAATAAACAAAAAAAGTAACGTCAACAAACAAATGCTAATGAAATATAGGATTAATATATGTAGTGAAAGTTGAGTTGATATCTAAAATCGAGAAATTCTATAAGGTTTTAAAGGATGGGAAGACGAGCCCAACCCAACCCAAAATTGACTTTGGGTTGGGTTAGGGCCGAAGGAATTTAGTTAGGGTTAGGGTGGGTTTAGAACTTGGGGTTGGTCTCAACTTGATCTAACCTGGCTTGACTTGCAACCCTAAGTAGCAGGCAATGCAAGACTGTTCGAATAGCCTTTACAGCCTTGTATTGGGAATATCTCTGTATTTATGTAATTTATTTTATGGGGAGATGTTCCCAATGGAAGGCTATAAAGGCTGTTTGAATGGTTCACCTTGCATTTGGAATATCTTCGAACTTGTGTGGTTTATTTCGTGAGGAGATATTTTCAATGTAAGACTATAAAGGCTGTTTGAACGGATTGCATGGATTGAAGTTCAGCTTCAGTCAGAGCAAAATCTATTTGAATAACCTTTACAGCTTTGCATTGGGAATATTTCCCACTTATGTACTTTATTTCATGCTTAGATATTCAGGTTACAAGAGGCTGTTGAACTGTATAAGCATGGGCTTGCTCTGATTGAAGCCATACTCCACCGATTGAGTTTTCAGCAGGCAGTACTGCACTGCATTGCCACACTTGCAGAGATTGGATTTACTCCTCACAGCACGCTTCAGCCGTGCATCGAGAATATCTTCCCAATAAATATTTTCAAGTACGGAGATGTTTTTATCAGGACACTTGGCACTTGGTAGATCGCCAAAGTCTGCTTTTTATCAGGACAGGCTCTATACTTACACCGTTCGTGCAGCAGGATGTGCCACGTGTCTTTCACCTCGTTAGACTATTTGAATTCCGTACAAAACTTGTAATATTTCGTTTAATTGTCCACTTCTCGTTCCTTTCTTGTCAAATTGATTCCTCTCTCCAACCAGCGGCGACCAACAACTATTACCGGCGATCGGAGGAAAGAGCCTGCCCTGATAGAAGCTGGACTCCATGGACAACATCGTTTTGGGTGATCTGATTTGAGTTTGGGTTGCTATTGAGCGTGTTCATGTTTCGTTGGATGGTTCCAAGGATTTACTGCGATAATGATTGTAGCTGATGCAGGCTTAACGGTAAATATCCAAACAATCAAATTAGAAACAATTAAGGCCATACACAACATTAACATTATTAATAGAAGAAGCGTTTTGATGCTCCTCAGGCTGAAGACCTTAAAGTTTAGAGGTCATTCACTGATCAGAAACTTCAACTCAGGGTCATTTTTCTTCTTCTTTAGAATAATAAAACTAAAACCAGACAAGCTTGTAGATGTTTTCATTTGATCCAACTTTCAGACAAAAAGAGGAAATTTAAAGAAAAGAAAAAAAAACCTTTTGTTTGGTAAAAAAGAGAAGCATGCAAATGGAATAAGCAAACCAGGTAGAACCCAAGTGAGAAGAAAAATATCTTTAGATAATTTATACATGGCAAAAGTAGACTAAACTTAACAAATGTCGAGAGGAAGAAAAAGGTGAAATAGGGCAAAGAAACAAACATGCAACCCCAGTTCTCACAAGCTCTTTTAGGGAAAAAACAATAGACCCACCAAATCCAATGTACCAATTTTGAACCAGTCCACAATAAGACTTTGAAATAGAAAAAGAAAAATCAAATTTTACACAGAACCCACATCTCTCAGCAGTGGGGGAGGGGGACCCAAGTGACTAAAATAGAGAGAAGTGTGTGTCTGTGATGATGCAAGAGAGGAAGAGCCAAAGACCAACCAATACCAGCGACAACGGAGATGTCCATGTCTCTGTAACGATCAACAAAAATGTCTACAGTGTCCTTGAATGCCCTGTGATGAAGTAACAACGTCGTTATATCTTGAAACATGATTCCTGAAACACAAAGCCACACTAAAAAAGATGATAAAAAGAGATACGACACTCAAAACAGAGTTGTTCGACTAAAGCTCCATGAAGTAATAATAGAACAAGGAAATACAACAAAAGCCAGCTAATGACCTGGTTTGGGGAAGTGAGACACGACTCGAATCGCTTCAGAGATAGCCTGCAGCCTTGGGTCTCCTCGTAGTCCGTTCTCTCCTGCAACCGGTGATTGTTGTTGGTTGCCGCCAGTTGGAGAGAGAGAGAGAGAGAAATCAGTTTGGCGAGAGAGGAGTGGGAAGTGGAGAATGGAACAAAATATTACAGGTTTTCGTATAGAATTCGAATAAAGTCTAATGGCATTGATGGGCAACGGTGTTTACTCTAAGACACACGCTTTAAGCAGCCACAAGAGGCAAAAGATGTGTGGTGCGCCCTCCTGCTGCATGAACGGTGAGAGTATAGAGCCTGCCTTGATCCTGATAAAAGCCAGACACAAGAACTTTGTTTCTTAGCGCGTCTTTTCCATGGTTTTTAAAAACGAATCGGTTAGGGGTCCGGTTAATGGTTCGAACGGTAGATCTGAACAGTCGGCCCGTTCTGATAAAAAAATAAAAAGTTAAAAAATTGGAAAACGATCAAAACCGTTTGAATGGTTAATCGGCCGGTTCAACAGTTTTTTGACCAAAATCAACGATTTTGATGGAAAAAGCAGTTTTGGAGGAAAATAGAATCGATTAAGTGACCAGTTCCTGATTTTTCTGGTCCGACCGTTCAGTCCAATCCGATTTTGAAAACAATGGTCTTTTCAATGCATAATATTTGCCTTTCTAACCATCCTCAAAAATCATTAACAAGGAAAAACTACAGAGGAAGAAAATTAAGCCATCACTTTCACTCGTCTCATTGCATATAGAACTCTCACAATGTTGGATGTGTCCCTGCCCCCTCCCATCTAAGAGAGGCCTAGAAAACATTTTTTTTCTATGTTTTCTTTTACTTTATTAACTATACACTAAACAAAAAACAGTTGGGATCACAATCCATACATACTTTTGACATAATTAATCTTGTAGGTGCACATGGTAAGCATCCAATGGTGAATCTCGACCCTTGAATCATGGGATTTGTGATAAGTAATAGTCATTGAGAAATGGGGTCACTAAAACTTGGAGGAAAAACTTTGAGGTGCGTCGTCTGGAGACACTGTCTTTATAATATTATTTGTCCTCACTGTGTCATACACACATGCGTGCATGTTACGTGGTAGCAAGCTTCTACACTCTCTTCTCTTTATCTAAGGAGTATAAATCAGTTCCTATTAAAAAACCCAAAACAAAACTTGTAATTTTCCAATATAGGACAATTTAAAAAACTGTTTTTAGTAAGAAAAGAGTTATTTTCAAGACATGTATACATATATAATTTTTTATGTAATTGACCAATCAAACTCCATTGGATTTAATCTCTAATAAGATTAAAATCCAACAATAATAATAGTAAAAAAACCCATTCCTATTTCTTCTATCTTCAGACACGTCTTATTCAATACGGTACTATGGTACTGGCCGATGGCTTCTCAAGATTTTGCTTTCAATTAGGATGAACGTATCATTTCTGTATGAAATCGGATTAACTGTTCAGCAGGTAATAGAAATAAAAGACATGGACCCATAGCTGAACGTAATGACTGGCATAGAGCATTATTATAGGTTTCACTGCCTGCCGAACAGCCATTGGATTCTGCTAAATATGCCAATGATAAAATACATATGCATATGGTATACAGTGAAAAGTTAAATGGTTGTCCATCCCATTTCCCATGCCCTGTATTTTATTACTGACGTGGCGTGGCGTGGCGTGGATCATTATCATTAATTCTACAATTAATGCAATGGTGTTCAGCTAATCCTTTCTCTTTTCCAAATTAACTATCTGTGGGTTCTGACTGTTTAAATATAACCGGAATATATTTTTGTCCATGAAAACCTCTTTGACATTTGACAAGCTAGCTTATCAGTTACATGAAGGCTTCATTCATGGAAGATATATGGAAGATTATGTGGGGCCCCAAGCTACTCTTGTTTTATGACTGACATGCATACATACAGACTTCAATTTGATAGAGAACAGAGTCCAGAATCCATCTCAGCTGCAAATTAACTATGCAAAGTTCATATATATATACATAGCGTATTGGTAGAGGCAAATCATATCTCTTATGCTTCAATAAACCCGTGTCTATAGCCTATAGGAACAGTACTGAGAAAGACTGGGCTCCTACCACAAGTCATCCCTGTTATTGGCATATAGGCAAAAGTGTCTTGTCAATGATCATACAACTCACAACTTTGCTTGGAGGAAGGAGGAAGCCAAAATAGATTCAACAAGTAGGGGTGCAAATGAATAGGATCGTAATCCGATCCGATTTTATTTGATCGAATTTGGATCTTCAGATCGGATCAGATTTAGATCACCCTTATTCGATTCAAGATCTGATCTGATGTGTTATATATTTATAAATATACATATATGTATATGTATGTATATATGTTATTTATTTATTTATAGATATATTATTTATATTGTATTTTTATAAATTTGTTATATTATTTATTTTTTTTATAAAAGCATGTATATATATGATGAAAATAATTAAAAAATATATTTTGTTTTTTCTTTATTTAAATTGGTATATTTTATTTTTTCTTTTAATAATTTATTAATTTTTAAAGAAAACAAGTCGGACCAAATCAGATCCAAAGATCCGATAGGATTCAAATTCAGATCGAGTCCTATAAGATCCAATCAAATCTTCGGATTAGATTGGATCTAACATGAACAGAGTCAGATCAGATTTGAATATACCCTGATTTGAATCTGATCCGATCCATTTGCTCCCTACCAACAAGGGGTTGCTTCTCTAATTCTCTTTAGTCAAATTGGAATCTAAATGCCACCCATGTTCCACCAAGTACCGAAACAAGTCAATCTGACTACAGTTCAACTCTCTCCTCAATTGAGAGACCCTCGTTTTGTTTTTGGTGGATAAGAGTAGGGGTGTAATAGAGCCAAGTCGAGTTGAGTGTCAGGCTGTTCGAGCTTGAGCTTGATTCAAAAACTTAGAGCTTAAAACTTGGCTCAAGCTTGACCAAATTTCAAGTTTCCTTCTCGAACTTGACTTGAGTTGGTACTCATGAGCTATTCAAGCTCAGCTTGGCTCAAGCCAATTATAAATTGATTAGTATTAAAAATTATAAATAAACTAATATCAAACAGATTGAAAATAAAAATATATTAAGAACCTTGAGTATGTCTTAAAAAATATAGATTAATTAATATTCTAAATACTATAAATAAAATATATTATGAAAATCGATTATAAATTTATTTATTATATTATAAATAAACTAATGTTAAAAATTTAATATCTATTTATATTATAAATACAAATATATTAAGAAATAGTATTTTATTATGAGCTCGATTAAGCTTACGAGCTACTTGAGCTAGGTAGTTTGAAGTTCAAACATGGCTCAACCAACTACTTGACTCAAGTACATAGAGTTGAGTTCGAGTATTTAGCGAGTGAGCCCCAATAACTTGTGTAGTAGTTTTAGGTGTTGTGATTCAAAAGTTTAGAAAGGATAGTTTTGTGTCATCAAAAACCTTTTTTTTTTTTTTGTCTTTTGCACTTCTTGCACACACCCACATTTGTTTCATTCTCACACAAGCTTATTTGACTTTTGCCAAATTTCAAAATTTCCCTCCACTCTTAAGCCACTTTTCCTCCCCTAGAATTGTTTGAATTCCACATGGAAAAATTACAAGAAAAGTTGAGTTTATTACTAGGAGATGACAAATTTCAAAATTTCCCTCCACTCTTAAGCCACTTTTCCTCCCCTAGAATTGCTTGAATTCCACATGGGAAAATTACAAGAAAAATTGAGTTTATTACTAGGAGATGACCTTTGTCTTATGGGGACCCAAATGGAGTGTATATACATATATACTCTCCCAACTTGGTGAGTGGTTGGGTATTCTCTTTCACGTGTGCGTACTTAGTCAAGCCGTGGGTGTGGGTCATCTGCCTACCTTCTTATGACTAAGTTTTTGAACTCGCACTTCTTTGTATTATGCTGTCTCTCAGAAGAGTCGCCATGTTTCTTAGGGTAAATTACACGGACCCCCTGTACTATGGGGTCAGTGACAAAGACCCCATGAATTTTAGCTGTTAGACAAAGACCCCTTCTGTTAGCCTTTTGTTAGCCATGGATACTGGTGACTACACTAAAACGTAAACGGAGAAAGAAAGAAACCAAAAATATGAAGAGAGGACAAGGCATCGGACGAGGAACTTGCTAAGTTCTTCATCGTTTGCCATCATTCTTCAATTTCCAAGCATTCAGCTATGGACTTCATTCTCCTAAAAGTAGTCTCTTAGGTATATTGCTTGGTCAACACACCTCATAGGATAGATATCAACAACTTGATGCTTCAAAACACTAGCAGAACCACGCCTCTAGAGGGGCTAATTTCAGAGGCAGGGGTAGCAGTTCAGGCCCTTATTCGATGATAAATCCGTTTCAAGCTCCCGATGTTCATAGATCAGGTGACAACTTATCTGGTGCAGGTGGCTTGAGCGTCTACAATAGAAATAGGCACCAAGCTTTACATCTCCAACTTAGATTATGGTGTCTCGAACGAGGACATCAAGAGCTCTTTCTAGAGGCTGGTGACCTAAAACAATATTCAATCCATTATGATAGAAGATCGAAGGTGACAACAGAAATTATCTTTTCACGCCTGGCAGATGCTCTAGCTGTTGTCAAGAGGTATAACAATGTTCAGCTTGATGGGAAGCCAATGAAAATAGAGATTGTAGCCCTACAAGAAAAATAACTTTTAGTGGTAGTCGGCAAAATGCTGCTAAAAGAAGTGTCGCTAGAAGTCTATTCTCCATTCAAAACATTTGAATCATAAATTAATACATCTTAGTTTCAAATTGATAGATTCTTTAATACAAATATCATGTTTCCTCCCTCATCTCTTGTCTTTTCCATGCAAGTATCTCTCCACATTGTCAGGTCCACATAGCTCTTTAACAACAAGCATGGTTGTGGGGGTGTCCAACTGAAAGGTTGAATAAAATTCATCTGAGCTACACCTTTTAAGAAGCTCCTTCCTGGCTTCTCTAATAGCTCTTGTTGCACAGTGAATAGATACTGCTCAGAATCTGCATATTCCACTAGTCGTGTTTCTTAACTTGATGAAATATGTATTTGTTCATATTTCACTAGTTTTTTATTCTTTTTTTTTATGAAATAACTATTACTGTACCCTAAGAAGAAAACAAATACTCCCAGACTAAGTTCATAGAAGCCTTAGCCATGATGCAGGGTATCCAACCCATTTGCATGATCCAATTGGCCCAATTGAAGGTTGGGAAGTATGAATAGTTGCAATGGGTATTCAATTAGTAAGATAGATAGTGGACATACCCGATCAAAATTAGTAGGGGCTAGACCCTGAAATTCCATGATGGTTATTCCTCAGAATTGAGCCATGAGATAAGCACTTTGCAATCACCTTCAACAATCATCCCTAACCCTTTCTGTAGTGACAAAAGTTTGAGTCATTATATCACCGCCAACAATTCTAAATATAGCTAATGCTTTCCACATTGCAAAGAGAAGCAATTCTCTCACTCTTGGAGGGAAGGCAACAATTGATGATTGGCTATCCAAAAGTTTGAGGGTGATCTCCCACTTAGATGAAAGTAGGGGAAGGGCTAATCCCTGGCTTTTATACTCTTTTTTCCCCACATTATGTACCAAAAGCGGGGGAGGCTTAAATATTTTATTTCTAAAAGTTTTCATATAGCATAGTTTTCCAAAAGAATTATGTTCTTTTCTATAATTTAAATGATGGTAACTTGAAGGTATTTTAAGTACTTAAATAGCTAGTTAAGGAAATCTTTCTAGAATTGCTCAGTAAATCAGAACTTACCTTTGGAGGAAAGAACATGTTTTTGGTGATGCCCACTATTTAGGATCTTAACATTAAATTGCTTTTACTATGCAAGAAACACCTGGTTTATACTTTCTTTGAAATGAGTAAACTTTGCATCTGAAGTACTAATACATGGTTTTCATTGACTAGGTGGACTATCGATACAAAGTATCATATAGCTGATGTTTCTATATGGATGGCTCATCTTGGTGAGGAGTTTTCTATTGGGATGTGGCTAGTTTCTTATCTTTCTTGTATTGATATGACTTATAGCTATCATCTTTTACCATCCTCCAGCAATGGGTTTCTTGCAATGATATTCAGAAGTTTGACATATTATTGTGCATTGGAAACAAAGTAGACCTTTTACCTGGTCACTTTGCTCATGCTGAATATAGAAGACACCTGCAAAAGTGTGGAGAATCTTTTAGTAATCCACATCCAGAGTACTTAGATTATGGAATTCTAGAAACTGAGGGTAGTAGTTTGTTGGGGGATGAAGAGCCCTCGGAGCAGCACAATTTTACACCACCTTAGTCATGCAAGTCACCCTTAAAGAATAGTATCTAGGTAATGATAAGTATTAAGACAAAAATACCGTTAATCCTACGAGTAAGAATAAATCAACAGAACTAAACCCAAACAACCTAGTAAAAAATACAAAGGCTATGATGCCCTTACATAGGCAATTACACATTTTAACATTAAGCATAAAGAATAGCCTGAAACAATTGAGTCTAGAATAACAACTCATTTTTTGGTGTTTCTGCAATATGTCTATTACTTTATAATTGGTTAACTTTCTCCTAGCTTTTATGCATGTTTGCTGTCATTTCTCTTTTTCTTTTCATTCTATGGGAATTCTAGTTGGATGCTCCTTCATTTCATACATACACAATATTGGCCTATCGGATAAAAGTTGTTCTTATAGATTCCATTTAATGAATTTCTTTGCCACCTGAAACAAGTAGAATAAGTAGACTTGGACTTACTGCGGTTGGTCATATCCTCTTTTCTTCTTTGGCCATGAAAATACTATATTCTGTAATTCACAGGAAAGTTTTACAAAAGTAAACCATTGCTACTAAATCCACTAGTTTATGTATGTGATGGTTAATGAGATTATCAATTAACAGTTATGAACTCTTTGCTATTCAGGTGTTTCTTTTGGTAGAAGGTCTGAGGTTTCAACTTCAAGCAAGTATTTTCCCACTTCTAGAAGAGTGTTCAGGCGTCTAAAAGACTATGCAAGGAAACTTTCTGATGTTGATGCATTTACACAGGAAATTGAACATTGGGTTCTGGGGAGGACATCTTCAGGCAATGAGAAGGGGAAACAATTGTTTAGGTATCCCTTTCTTGTTGATGAGTTGCAGAAACTTGATTATGCATTAGAAGGGATCTTATTTCAGCAACTCTTTCGTATGCCTTACTGTATACTTCAGATGATCTGAAAGAGGATGGGTATCTTACTTTAGAAGACTTCATACTATTGTAGATGGTTTATGGCATACCTTTTGGCACAAATATGGGCCATTGCCATGATTTTTGTCTTGTCCACATCATCCTGGACCTAAGTTCTATACAGTTGAAAGGGCAATACTGTAGATGGGAGCACATCCATCTAGGCTTTAGCCATCTTGAGAGGATATGAGCTAAATCTCTGATGACTCATTTCAAAACATTCTCAGTAATAACTAATAGTAGATTGTAATATGGGATTCAATCCAAATCTAATTCTGATATAAGTATGCTGGATAAGTTTTGAGTTACTAGTCTATAATAGATCAATTCCATACAATAAGATTGAAGTGTTATAACACTGGATTTTGGAAAAAAATATTTATGAATGTCAAGCTGGTATGGTAATTTCCATAGAAAAGGAATTCATATTCCAAAATGTTTAGAAGAGCACAAAAACTCACTGATATATCTTTCACCATTGCTTTTTATTAGTATAAAATATGAAAATTATGTGCATGGACAATTCTAAGAGGTAAAAGTCAAGAACAGAAAAAACCAAGTTATTACAAAGGAAGAGAAAAGAAATTATGTGCATGGACAATCAAACAAAAGCCAAGCAACATAATTGTTGATAGAGTTACTTTGCCAGGCAAATAGAGCAGACATGCCAGTATAGATTTGGTAAAGAATAGACAATTTGATAATCCAAGAAACATTAGCATATGTATAAATAATTCTTCTAACCTGATTTATCTAATTGTATAGTGGAAGTTGAAAACAAATCTTATCCCAAGTTGAGCAGGAAAGGAAGTTGTACTGTGTTGCATTGGAAATGGGGAAAGCAACAAATAACAACTTAGAAGTTTACATTTCCATGTTCATTAGTTCCCATACAAAACATAAAAGAGGGGCTAAAAAATGGTGATGCCAAAATCATATATCATGAGGCTAAATGCTAATTAGTGATAGGTTTGTCCAGTAATTGATTTGATACCAGCTTTATGAAAGTAATAAATTGATGCCAAAGTATCCAAAATGCATGTTAAAGGGTTATACCCATCCAATCGCCACAAATTCATCTACTCCAAGTTCATGATTATTCTATTACACTGAATATTAGATGTCATATGATTATTAGAGTTTAGACCATCCCATAGTACGAAACAAGGAATTGAATAATAACTCAACTGATGCCCATCTTGGGGCAACCAAAAACCAAAGAACCAATTTAGATGAACCTTATAATCCAGTAGGTTAACATTTTGAGGAAACATTAAAAATTAATGCATGGCAAAGTAGTCATCCATGGTTGACATTCCTGGTTGGTTACTGTGGTAATTTTATTTACATGCAATGAAGACAATTTCAACTTGTTTCAACATCTTATTCAACTTGCTATCATGTTACATACTAGAAGGCTTCAAGAACCATGAAAAACTGCTGAACTACAAAATAACTTCCATTCATAGAAATACATCCAAATTAGAACCCAACCTAGTATTTTTTCAAGCTGAGATTTTTTCTTTGTATTGCATGCATAGAATTAAACATTAAAAGAACCTGGATGTAGGCCCTAGGGAGTAGCTAGGAAATACTAAACCAAAGAAAAATGAAAGACAAATTCAATTAAAGCTCAATTGAAGAGCTTTTTAAGTGGCTGAAGTTTGGAATGCCTCTATGTAAACCTGTAAGCATCTAGGGATGTTTAAAAATTTCAGATTTCTACAAGCGTTTGATTCCAGTAGTAATCAGTAAACCCGACCATGGGCACCCAAAATGAATTGATAGCGATTGATTTCTGTTACAATGGGTTTCAGGATAATTGTCAGTTTTCATGGCGATGATGATAAAGCTCTCAGCATTGTCCTTCGAGTACAACAAGTTTACAGGGATGATACTCTCTTACTGAAAAGTTGTAATTCAAATGGATGAGGCTCTTACTCAGAACTCAGAAGTCAGAACTATTTGTTTGGACTAATACCAGGCCTGCTGATGGCATTAAAATCAGGTTCTGCAGCGCTGAAATTAGTAGATAACTGTTTGTATAGATGTTCATCAATGTTATGCTCCTGCTAAGGTGGAGATCAGAAGTTGGTAATGACGTGTTACAGCTTTGTACTAAGTTGTCATTCAACACTCAACAATAGGCTTGTCCCTTTTGAAAACGGATTTGGGGAGAAGTTATTAGTGGTAAGGATACCTTCACCTTGAGAGTGGGGAATATGTAGACATAGCTCTAGAAACCTATGATCTGTATACACAAGACAACATTGGAATTTGGAAACCTAATTTGTCTAAATGATAGACCTAGCTTTGTATCTTATGCTACTTTTACTACTTAATTTACTTACAAGAAGGAACCTACCTTTAATGTATCCTTCGAGGCGTTGGTTCAATGTTGTGGTGAAGAGATTGAATCAACCACTGATGTTGAAGTCGCAAATTGGTGCTATTTGGTGGAAATCTGAGACAAACTCCACTGGTGATGGACAGTAGAAAAGAGAGAGGGAGAGAGAAATATTATTATCTATTCATGCTGGCTGGTGTCCTTGGGTGTCGTCCGGTGGGGAGAGGTCGACTGTAAGAGAGAGAAAGAGGGCGGGAAGAGAATGGGATCGAAAATGAAATAGGAGGGAGGAAATATCCCAAATTCGCGCATTATTTATTAGCGACAGTCGCTATACTCTCTAACGGCAGTTTTAAATGACTGCGGCTATAGAATATTATTTGTAGTGGCAGCCTGCCTTTAGCCCCCTTCTAAACTGCCGCTATTTCTCATTTTTCCTGTAGTGTAGGAACTAATATTATGACGCATGTTGCTGTTCTACCAACTACAAATGGCGGATTTGGAAATCCGAATGGTGTTCCCAGAAGTGGACAACGAAGGGATGGTGGTGGTCGTGGATTTGGAAGGGTCTGTAGATGGAGAAGAGACCGTGGTGAGTAGACATTTGCAGAAGATCTTGATGTTGATTTAGAGAAGTACCATTAAGAAGCAATGCAAATAAATTGAAGGTAAACTTTTGTGGCTTCATAGTTCTGCTATTACATTGTAAATGCGTCGTTGCTCAAGGATGTGTACTTTTACCAACATGCTACTCTTACAAGGAGGAAAACAGAGTTGAGGAGATTGTTGTGTCTGGTTTATGGAGCTAGGGCCTTTTATTGTTGGTTGCTCCTTTGAATTTGACATGGTACATGCGTTAATAAACAACCGCAAACTGTTATTTTGATAAAAAAAAAAAAATTCTAGACATCGTCCAAGGACCATCTGTTGAAGAGATCCACCGCAGGTTGAGTGAAGATCGCCATGGCTGCAGAGAGCAAATGCTTGTGATTCCATTGGATTTGAAGTAGGGGTTGAACAACGAAGAACCGACTTCCTGTGAGGAACTTTAAAACATAAATTTGGTTCCATTGGAGTTGTTTCTTAAGTTATAGAAAGAAATTGAGGGCATTCATGTTGGTCTCAATTTGGAGGTACTCTATTTCCCAAAAACATAGAAGCCGGTTCTCACTGGCAGAGATTTTTTTTTTTCTTTTTCCGGCGATGATTACCGGTGAGAAAATTAGATTTCTCACCAAAAAATATTAGGATCTGTTTGATTGCTGAGAAAGGGATGAGAAAAATGAATATTCCCGAATGATTCTCCCTTTCTTGTGTTTGTTTACGGATAAACAGTGTTTTGGGACGAGAAACAAGAGAGATGCGGGTTCCCAAAATTAAGTGAGCGGGGTCGCACTAAGAAAAAGCTAAAAAAATATCTTGGGTTTGTTAGAGCAAGACGTCGACAACCTCCTCTCCCTTCAAAGTAGCAATCCAACGACCATATCTCCGGCAGCTTCTCCGGCCATCTCTGTGAAAGATAACACAAGATCCATGAATCTCTCTCTCTAGCGGTCATGTTCTACCCTTTTTTTTGTTGTTTTTCGGTCCATGGTTCTTGCTCAGTGAAGTGTGTTCTAATGTCATTGTTGATCCGAGCAGGAACAACGGAAGGCTGAACACCGCCCTTTCTCAATGAACAGTTCTCTCTCTCTAGCAGGAACAATGGAAGGCTGAATCGAAGAACATCTTTCCACGTCGCAGGCAAGTTTTTCTTTTTCTTTTTTTTTTTTTTTCCTTTTGTTCCGAAGGTTAAATGTAGTTAGAAGGTCTTGGCTTTCTTTTGGATATGTTATATCAATGGAGCATAAAGTACTTTGGAATTTTTGTTGGTTAAATGGCGTTGCCAGTGATGATATCAGTACCCAAAATACCATCTTTCGGGACTGAATGGCTTATTAAGCCTTGCTGTCACTCTGCAATTCTGAGGCATATTATTGTACAAACTACAAACTACTCCCCATTCATTGTACAGTGAAAATTCTCTTGATTTTGTATCTTTTTCATGTGTTCTTTTTCTGGGATTGCTTTGGTCAAAATGGGAGTGGTCAGAGAGATTGCCCTCTCTCTGTTTCTTGAATGCTATTCTATTTTAATTATAATGTAACTTCTAAACTTCACATGTGTCCATGATTCCATGGGTTTTCTCATTGTGCTTCATTCCTCTACTTTTTGTCTTTCTGTTCTTTCCATCAGCCTTAGAGTCTGATGTGGGCTCTTGATTGCTCATTCTCTTCTTCTATGAAGAGCTTTGGAGTTCTGTCATTTGGACTGATCATGTTCCTGTTAAAGCTAAATGGGAATAATCTCTGCAATTATTACATCTAATTGCTGCAGGGCCATATATTCAACCCTCCTCTTGGCTTCCCTATCAATTCTGTAGTTTTCTGTTGTCGTTTTCTCAGAATATCATAATGTGCATTGGTTGCAGTTCGTTGTTACAGGTTTCTTATGTCTTTTTGTCTTTTTAATATTCATCTTATTTGCATTTGCAATGCATCGGGCTTGATTGGTCAGCGCCAGTGATGTATAGACGCTACTTTGTCAAGATTCTATTCATATATTTGATTCAGAGTGCTGGTGGAGGTTCTTGATAGAGCAGAGTGACAGGACATGATTCATATAGACGATCCTACATGGTTGGGATTATGGCTAAGTTTAGTTGGAAAGTGTGTGTGGGCTTTGTCCTGACCTAAGAATGTCTTTCTTTTTGGTTTTTAATAAGCTGTTACTGTTATTTGTATGATAGACAGTTTTGTATGCCCTTAGCTTCAATCAGAATGA